AAAAAAAAAAAAAAAAAAAAAAACAAAACGTGTGTGATTCGATTAGAGCTCGACGAGAAGAAGAAGAGAATATAGGTGATAAAGGATGCTAAAGAAAGGTCAGATGGATGGAAGAAAAAAAATAAATAAATAAATAAAGATTGATATTTTCAATTAACGGCAATAACGCGGTCAACTCGACGATTATACGCGAAGAAGCAGCGGGACGAAATAATTCTCAAGGGGACAGGAACTAACCGCGACCGAATCTCCGAGGCAATCGATAATCGATAAGAATGTGCCACGAGTATTTAATTGCAGCCTCTATTGTCAGCCTCGACATCTCAACGATGTTCCCTCATCCGCTTTATTAAAGGGTTGCACGACTTTATTAAAAACTTGAGTGAAACTTGACCTTCCGGCTGTTTAAAATAGCTTGCGATCCTGTATAAATAGTTTATTAATTAATTTCTTCTCGTCGATGCGTGGGAATACGGTTGTATTAATTTTTATATTAATTTTCAACCGGTTGGAAAGAAAAAGAATGTTTCGTTTCGAAAATCCATCGTTCGAAGAATGGAAATTACGATTTATTTATCCAAGAGGAAATGGCGTTGAGTCATACGTACGCGCAGCGTGCGTGTAATTGCTTGTTGACACCGCGTCGCGTCATATTACATTTATGGAACGACGGAACCGGTATCTAACAATTATTCGTTATTCGCGTAAACGTTGTATCTTACTTAACGATCGAAGGATAATCGATCAATATAAATAAAATAATAAAGCGATTTCGAAAATATTCGAATATTAGAAAGCGAAGGAAAAAAAACAACATACGTAACAACATTACATTAGACACGCATGCATTAACATCGCATATCGCGCTTGTTTTTCCTTCCAATGTTTTCAATCTAAGCCTACACTATATAATTGCAAATTCATTGAAATCGATTCTTTTTCGCCTTTCACTCGTTAACGATATTAAACGCAGAGAGCGAAACGACGGCATGGAGGAAAACGTGTACGCGAAGAAACGGTTTACCAAAAATAAACGTTCCCTAAACGGAAGCAAATAGAAGCGAGAGCACCACAGCCAGCCTATCGTTTTTACTCGTTTTCCCCTCGTACAGGATGATCGATCGTGAAATCACCCTCGTCAGCCGAACAAAAGGCACCGTGGTCCCTCTCCGTGGAGAGGAACACACCCTCGTCGCGTGCACTCCCTCCTCCCCCTCTCGAACGACTCCCCCAACTCGAGACCCCGCGTAAAACGAACCCCGTTTTTAAAAACATCGACTCCGAAACTTAATTCAAATCAATCGAAATACGTTTGGAAACCATACGAACCATCCTTGAGCATCTGTCGAAGCTCCTTGGTCCTCTGAAAGTTGATCTCCTCGAGAAGCTGCTCCAGCATGGTCGGTGGCCTGGCCAGGCCCGACGACGAGCTGCCAGCCAGAGTGGCCATGCCCAGCCCTCCTCGTGCTTTCACGCCGCGATTCCTGCTGGCGTTCTGTCGCCACGATCACTCGGAGAGAGAGACAACAGCGAGCGAGGCGAGGCGAGGCGAGACGAGGCGAGGCGAGGCGCGCGTTTCCCTCGAATCACGGCCAGCCGAGAGACGTGGTCGCGTAGGAACCGAACGGAACGACAGAGGTCAGCCGCGAACCGGCCGAGATCGGCATCTCGCCTCCCGTTGTTAGATGCGCGATCTTCTCCTCGAGGTGGCCATACTGCCCAGTTTTTTCTCTTCTCCTTCAGCCGAGACTCGTTGCCACGAGATTGGATTCGCGTCGTGCTCGTGCTCGTGCTACTGCTCGCCACTTACTCACACGGTCACGCCACGCACCGTTCAGTTTACGTTCGCTACGGCGGAGGGACAGACAACGAAACCGACGACTCGACTCTCGCTCGTCAGAGCCGCTCGATAATTTCGCGCATGCGAATCGCGATGACGCCACCGACGCGCCAACGACGCGCTCCTTTCGAATACACGTTTATTTTTGTTCCATGCGCGAAGCGTTTCGTAAGAGCGGAAGAAACGATTCGACGAAACGTTTTAGATCTAGATTGGTCAGCTTGCTTCGTTTTAAGTGAAAGATAGCACGATATAGGCACGTAGCTTTTTTCTTTTATCTCTCTTATTGAATCTATGTTTAGAAATGGATTTAACTCTACTATCTTTTAATCTTCTAATCTTTTAAAGAAAATTTTAATAAGCTCGAATTTTTGATAATAGAATTTTTATTATAATTATAATTATATTTCTTAATCCGTCGATGCGTAATTATCAAAAGAAAAATCTGTTGTAACGTTATTACGTAGATCTAATTTCTCTAGATATGAATTACAATATCGAATTAAATATCGGTTAAATATGAATGGTTAGATATGGATATTTCCCTGAATTTGGTCGAAGGAAAAAGAAAATATTGAGCAAACGCGGACGTTACTATCTGGAACGCGTTATCTAAAAGTTGAAGCTACTTCCAGGGAGATACGACGATTCAAAACTGACCTCATGACTCGAGATAATGTCCGCCGAGTTTTGCTGTTGGTTTGTCGCTTATACGTATGCTCCGTGTACGAAACTCGCAATATCTTTAATTTAATATCTTAAATAAATATCCAAAAAAACAATATCCATTTAAAACCGTTTCTTTTTAATTCGCTCAAATTATGAAAACTTATGGTAGATTATTATTATTTTTTCCTCCTATCTTTTCCATTTATCGAAATGAAGTCATTCGAATTCAAGAGACGAAGCGGGAAGCGTAGAGAAGCGAGTAACAAACCTGTGCACAATGTTTATGCACAGATTCGAATTCTATTCGAGATTTCGAGGGAAAGAACGAAAGCGCGGAGCGAGCTTCCGCAGCAGACATTTTCGAATCGGCGCCGCTAACTTTCCTGATCCGCGATACCGGCCGTCCGGTTCGTCATCTCGTTTAGTCGTGCCCGATCGTTCTTGCATCTCGGCTGCTCTCTGCTCTTATTCGTCTACGCGAACCACCACTTTTCGTCGTTTGCCCGCGCGGAAAAAGAAAAGCGAAAGAAAGCAATCGTGTCTTTCAGCCCAAAGGCACAGTGGCGTAGCAGGTGTGCGATTTTAAATTTTCTCTTTTTTCATTTTTTATTACTACGTGTGATAATTCAAAAAGTCGCGAAGTGAAATTTCTTTATTCGTTTTTCTTTTTTTTCGATCGATTTTTAAGAAGGAAAAAAAAACCAAGCTTTTTCATTACGAAAAAAGATATCGTTCTATATTGTATGTATATATTCGTCAATTCTCGTAACGTTAGGTAATCGTTAAAATTTAATCCATAAGCACGAATTCACGCGAATCTCGCGAAAGAAGTCACGCTTTCGTTCGACGCTTCTAATTCGTTAAGACGTATCGGAGTTTTCTTTTTTCTTTTCCGCGAAATCGTGCGACGAGAAGTTTACGAGAGAAGTAAACTTTTCGCGATAATTTTGCTAAATTTCTCTCGAGAAAATTGTCTTCGACGAGGTTTGGATACTGTAATTCAATCTATAAACTCGTCTATCGATAAACGATTTGTCGTTTCTCGAACGTGTACTCGAGTAAATTCAAGTTTCGACACCTTTTATTTCACCGACACTTTATTACTTTCTTCCTATTTCGAAACACGCCACACACGTAGTCACTCGTTGCTTATCTTCCTTCCGTTGCTATATTCGTAACGTGAAAAAATTCGAACGATCGACAAACACGAGACTTGCTTGCACAATCGTAACTTCTTAACAATAACCATTAATCACTGCGATCGATTTTTGCGATATTTGAAAAGTGTCTTTTTGTGCACGATTATTATTTTTAATTGCGAATTAGGCGTCATGACTCACGAGCGAATTCAGTGAGGGCGTGAAATCGTAGAGAAGACTGGCGAAGAACGAGAGTCGAAACGCGCTGCGATCATTTTCTTTTCACGGTTCGCACGTTCGGCGAAATTTACGATCGATCAGGACGGTTGGAATTCATCGTTAATTCGCATCGCGTTTTCTCTGTGGTGAAAATTCACGCGAGCGAGAATTCGTGATTTGGCCGTGGAGGATTCAACGAAGAGGAAGGTACGGATCGATTAAAACTTTTCCTCCTTTATCGATCGATATGCGCCTCGTCGATAAATACGAAATCGACCAAGTTTATACTTTTTCTTCCTCCCGCGATAAAAAAATATATTCTCGCGTTCATACATTTCTCACGAGAACAAAGCAGATTCGAATCAACTTGACGCGCTGACTAACTATTATTATTAACTATTATTCCGTTTAAAGACTCATCAACTCGTCGTATTTTTCCTCTCCACACCACCTACCTCGATCGTAATCGCATCGTAAATTTACTCGTCCAACTACTTCTATTCTACCACTACACAAAATTTCGTCGCTTTTCCATCCTTATCCATCCACTTTTACTTTCCGCTTTTCGATCTTCTCCATTTTCTCCTAACCTGTTTGGCAGCCTGTCTACGAATGAAAGTATCCAAAGATTAACTCGATCGAAACTTTCAAAGTGGGATCCGCGGAAGCACGTGTACAATTTCCGTTCGCGAAACGCGCCGGTGTCCCTGTTTCTTCCTCACAACACGAGTCCATCGTTCTAGAAACCTATACACCTACATGGTCGAGAAACTGCCATCTTGAGAGAAAGAGAGAGAGAAAGAAAGAGCGAGTGAGAGAGAGAGAGAAAGATCTCGAACTCCCGACCCACTTCCACGCTCGCGCGTAACCCGATGCATCTCTTCTAGACCTCTGCCTCGATCATTATTGTACTCTCCTCTCTCGCTTTCCACGCGACTCGCCTCTCTTTGTCCACCTGTCGTTCAGGATCCGTCGTCCTGCACGTATGCAGACAATGTTCCACCACACGTTTCGAGATACATATCTGGCCATCAGATGAATCTATATGCAGAGGTCGTTTCGTAACGAGTAACTTGCCGTTATATTCATATTTGACGGACACGCGTGGACGAAACGTTCACGATCGTTTTTTCGTGCAATTGAATCGTTGGCAAACACACGTTGTCAAATCGTGGAGGAATATTTTGTATTTCGAATCGTTGTCGGATTGATTTGAACGCGATATTCGTACGAGTGAGCATCGAGCAAAGACCGTTAATGGAAATCTAAATGGGTAATATCGTGGAGAAGAGTATTCGGTTTATTATCCTGTCCTGTGTTGTTCGATCGATCGCAATTGAAGTTTCTCGTCACGATCACAGTTATACAGACTCGTGTCTCGTAATTTCATGTTTTCATATATGTCGTGTCGAGGAAGCAAACGAAAGACGAGGGACGCGTTTCGCATGCCTCGGATCGATCAAAGAAAAATCTTTAAGAGAGAGAGAGAGAGAGAGAGAGAGGACAGTTGATCGGAATTGATTCGGAAAATTGAATGAATCTCCTTTCGAAATTCTTTCTTAGGAGCCTGTCACCTACCAAATTAAATCTCCGACTTTATCTTTTATTTCTAATTATGAGAGATTCGTTCTCTGCTCGATAACATTTTCCAGATTAAAATAACATCTTTAAAACAACGATACGTTTTGTTTGATACGATTCAAGGATGCGACCTCTTGATATCGTCGCCCGTTCCTATTCATAGATAAAGATTAAAAGTGCTCATGCGCGTATATTTACTTCTCCATCTTTTTTTTTTTTTTTTTTCAATTTCAACGCGCTGTACAAATCCGTCCAGTTTCCAATTCACGAGGACAAATTATTCGCTCGTTGTTTCCTGTATCGAGAGGATTAGTCGGATATTATAATTTGTGTTCGACAGAATCGAGAGAGCATCGATCATTTCAAGCTTCGTCATGTTGCTCCTGACCGTGACAGCGTGTCTGGTGATCACGGTGCAGGCCGGATGCCCTATGAGACCGACCGCGGAACAAACTTCCGCATCGAGGACCACGGGTGACGGTGGTTACAGGATACTCGTTAGCGGGAAGGCCGACAAATATATTCCCAACGCTGTTTACACGATCAGTTTGCAAGGTAACAACGATTTTCCCCTTCTTCTAAAAAGACATCTGCAACCGTGTAATATAACCCTTTCGCTATCGTATACCATAATGAATGACACTAGTTGATTTTCGCTAGTTGGTTCACAGATAAACGAAGCAACACGTTGCTTCAAACGTTGCTTGGGAGTTTTACAATTTTCTTTGGGATAAATTAATCGTGTCTTGTTTATTTATCCATTTCAGGGATATACTTTTACGTATTATAGACGAATTGTGGTTTTTGAATGAAATTATTTATTACGTTACAAAAAAAAAATTGTAATGGATTAATGATGGTTAGATGATGGATAGCGAAAGGGGGGGCTTCGATCGTTTATATTATCGCGATAAATTCGATTTCAGGCTCGCAAACGCACGAGAGATTGCAACAATTCACGCATTTCACTCTCTCCGTCAATTCGCAACACGCGCCTAATAATCCTACGGCTCGAGTAGGATACTTCCAACTGTTCCCCGATGGTTTGACCACGTTCAACGAAGATTGTGTCAATACCATCTCCGAAGCTTCAGATTATCCGAAGAACGAGGTGAATTATTCTCTATAGAATCTTTTTCTTCTTCTTCTTCTTCTTCTTTTTTTTCTGTTAAAAGATTCGATATCGAGGTTTACGATGTTGGATACACACAGGCGAAAATGCAGGGGGCGCAGATAACGCGGATAAATTTCTGACGGTTGGCCGGTGGCCAACCGTCAGAGATGTTTGATCCAGCCGCGTTATCGTGGGCAGAGGCCGCGAATTTCCGCAACCAGAACCGCGTGATATAAAACGTCTTCTTACCTTGGCTCAGGTCCAAGTGATGTGGAGGGCACCGCCGTCAGGATCGGGATGCGTTATCTTCACAGCCATGGTCTTGGAGAATAACGTGCGCTGGTACGCCGAGGATGGAGCTTTGACCAAGACCTTCTGCGAGATGGACTCAGCCGAGGTCGAGGCCTTGGACGGGGAGAAGTGTTGCGCCTGCGACGAGGCCAAGTATTCGGTTAGCACGAATAAAATTAATTTTATTCATTTCTTATCGATCTCGTACTCGTACTCGTATCGTTCCTCCAATCGTTCAATTGTATTCGATTTATTGGGTTGGATTTATTGGAGATTGGAGAGACGCTCTCGTAGAGAAATAAATATTTCATTGCAATAGATAGTCAGTCGTCTCTTTATGCGTTCGACATGAAAAGAGGAATCCAACGATATACGTGTTTTTTCCTAGGGAAATTTCGAAAGATAACTTCGAAATAGGAAACTAACACTTGGATAATTGAGATTGCCGGAGAGACTTCCGCTAAACATCCGTTAAGTTTAGAAAAATTGAATATATCCGATTCAAGCGATTATTATTATCAATTGAAGAATATTGTGTTTAAAAAAACTTAAGTGAAATATAATATCATATATAAAATTCTAATTTTCTGCTCTCTCAACTCGATGAAAATGTCACGCGTCGAGTCGGGCAAAGTTTGGCGGTAAAAAGAGGATGGAACGATATACGAGTGAAATACGTTCGAATAAACGCAGTAAAAGTAAGTAGAGTAAAGAAACGAAACGAGATGATAAAGTAAAAGAAGGTAGCATAACACGAGCTGCCACAATTGTGATAGTTACTCAACTCGGTATCAACTCGTACCGGAGTCGTGGAACCACGGTCTGCCAGTCTGAAAGGCGGAGAGGAATATCGGCGACTTCTCACACAGATTCCTCTCTCCGTTTGCAGTTGATAATGGAGGGAATCTGGTCGAACGTGACCCATCCAAAGGACTTCCCGTTCTCCGTTTGGCTGACCCACTTCAGCGACTTGATCGGTGCCTCGCATGTGCCGAGCTTCTCCTTCTGGGGTAAGGAGCACATAGCCACGGACGGCTTCCGCCAGTTGGCCGAGTGGGGCTCCGCGTCCGGCGTAGAGACCGAGCTCAGAGCTAATTCTAACAAATTAAGAACCCTCATCAAAGCTGCTGGGCTGTGGTACCCGAACGTAAACAGCAATACGACCACTAACTTCAGGTAGATAGATCCTTTACTCCTCCCTCGAACGAAACGAACCAAGACTCTCCTCCATTGAATTTTTTATTCAGATTAATTTTTTTCCCTGCGAAAAAAGAAATTTTAGAAATACCCTTTATCTTTTACCCCAGAGTGGACAGAAAACGTCCAATGATCTCCGTGGCTTCCATGTTCGGACCGTCTCCGGACTGGGTGGTCGGCGTGAGCAAACTGAATCTATGCAGAAAAGATTGCAGCTGGACGAAAAGCGAGATAATCGACCTGTACCCCTGGGACGCTGGCACCGACAATGGAATCTCGTACATGTCGCCCAATTCCGAGACGACGCCGCGCGAGAAGATGAAACCGATCACCACATTGTACCCCGAAGACCCTAGATCCCCTTTCTACGACCCCAGCGGAAGACCGATGCTGCCGCTCGCCAGGCTGTACTTGACCAGGGAGAAGATCATTCCACGGGGCTGCGACGAGGAGGTTCTTCAGCAGCAGGTCGCTCAGCTCGAGATAGCCGAGAACACCGAGGACACTGTCAGGCGTACCGTACAATCCAAATCGTCCATTCGTTTCGTCGCCATTTCTTATGGCACACTCTGAAATTCGAATTTATTTGCTCGCAGCCGAGTGTCAGACCACGGAGTACACGGCATGGTCGAGCTGCTCGGTGAGCTGTGGCAAAGGATTGAGAATGCGTACCAGATCGTATTTGATGCCCGAGAAGGCAGCCATGTTCAAGTGCAACAGACAATTGGTCTCCAAGGAGATGTGCGTCTCCTCGATCCCGGAATGCTCGTAAGCGTTGTCTTCAGAATGACAATTCTCTACGTTTTTATACGTATATACGTATAATTTTGTGAGAGAGATTCGTGGAAAATGTGCGTATATATGTATATATATATATATATATATATTAGAGAAGGCGATTTCAGAGGCGAGGAGGACACGGACGATGGTGTTGGCTCGTTGATCGGTGGCAATAACGATGCTTTCTGCGAAACAACCGATTGGGGCCACTGGTCGGAGTGTTCCTCCACGTGTGGGGTGGGGATGAAGCTGAGAACAAGGCGGTTCAAGGATAGAATGGGTCGTAAACGGTGTCCTCACGTATCCCTGGTTGAGAAGGTGAAATGCATGGAGCCGCCTTGCTCGTCCGGTCTAGAGGAACAGATCGATCCTACTTGCAAGGTATTTTTCACCCGCGTTTCTAGCATTCCTCTACAATTTCTAGCATTCCTCTACAAATTTCTGGATACTTTATTCGGGAAATCGCGGAAACTCGTTTCACAGGTGACCGATTGGTCGGATTGGTCCCCGTGCAGCGCCTCGTGCGGAAAAGGTGTGAAATTAAGAACCCGATTGTTGATGGTCGACCCGTCGAAACAGCAAGAGTGCTCCTCGAAGATGGAACTGGTCCAACAACGGCCGTGCTTGGACCAGGCTGACTGCACCTTCGACATGGCGACTGCGAAAGGTTTGTTTTTTTTTTACGACGAATTTTAGAGGAAAAACGAGAAAACAAGTAATCGATAAACGATTTATCACGGTTTGCAGTGGTTTGCATGGAGGAACCGAACGCTGGACCCTGCAGGGGATATTTCCAGAGATGGGCGTTCGTTCCTCAAAAGTTGATGTGCGTGCCGTTCGTGTACGGCGGTTGTCGTGGCAACAGGAACAACTTCTTAACGGCCGAGGAGTGCGACAATACTTGTGGCATTGTGAGTGAACTCACTCTGCTCGTTCACTTGCTTCGTTAACGGAAGATCGTTAACGGGAGGAAAGTGTTGGTTTACTTTCAGGTGCGAGCGATTCTCAGCGGACAACCCTTCAACACAACCGACGCTCAACTCGCCCCAATATCGCCGGCTCTCCCACCTGTCCATTGTGTCGTGAGTGGTTGGTCACCTTGGACACCTTGCAGCGTTTCTTGCGGGACAGGCCGTGTGACCAGTTTTCGCACGATTCAGGTGAGCGGAACGAACTTGGAACTTGGAAATCGATTCTATTTTCGTGAGATTAGTTTAATGAACGCGTATTGATTTGAAATGTTCAGCAAGAGGCACGAAACGGAGGGAATCCTTGTCCCAAGAAGCTTCAGCGTCGATCCAGGTGTCAGCTGGCGCCATGCGAATAATAATTTTGAGAGAAAAAAAATTCTTTTTCTTTTTTTTTTTTTTTTTAATACGTTTAAAACGACGAAGGATCGTGTAATCGGAAGAAGCAGCGGATCGATATTTTTTTTTCTTCTTCGTTTTCTTCTTTTTGAATACGGAAAATTTTGAACCGAAGAACGGATTGTTAGTTTGTAGTTTTTTTTTTTTTTTTTTTAAAAGGAAAAATTTTGAAGGGGAAAGCGGTTTTTTTTTTTTTGTTTTTTTTTTTTGTGCTTCCGGAATTTTGGAAGCGGAGAACGGGTTGTTTGTTTGTTGTTTTTTTTTTTTTTTTTTACACACGATATGATGGGTATGAAATAAACCGATGTATCAGAATAAATGGTATTTTATTAATGGTCATTCGTGATCTTTCTACTCTCGATCGAGTTACTCAAATATACGCTGGGCTACGATCGCAAACCGAAATGGAAAAAAAAAAAAAAATTGGAAATCGATCGCCCCGATCGCCGCGTTCAAATATTTCCTTTTTCTTTGTTCGACAAACTGCGCCAAACGAAAGTTTCACGAAACCGAAGGAGTTTCGAACGTTCGATGGCCACGGGGCAATCGAAGTTTGCGAAAAACAAACGGGGGAAGCTCTTTTCAATATTAATTTTTCTCCAGCGTATTAGCCGCTTCTTTGTTACGTGTATTCTTTTTTTTTCTTTTTTTTCTTTTTTTGTTTCTCTTTAATATCCTCGCTAATATTCGAATCGATTTTTTTTTTTAAGAAATTAAGAAACCAATAAAAAATACGTTCGTATTAATTTCTATACCTCCTTTTCCCTCGATATAGATCGGCGTGTCCTCTATAAAAGATATCCGAGCTCTCGTGATGGATGCTGTTATCAGAAACGATATTTAATTTCGATCGTTAAAAAATTCCGCTAGATTCTATGATTCGTCTTCAACTTATATTCCAAGTTGTACGATCTATTGTTTATCGGCTTAATTCGTTAATAAAACTTGGTTGGTTCCGTTTCGCGTGTACTCTCGTTTCGCAATATATAGTATAAATATCTCCTTCTCTCTTTCTNATAATAATAATAATAATAATAATAATAATAATAGTAATAATAATAATAGTAATAATAATAATAACGGTAATAATAATAGTAATAATAAAAGTAATAATAATAATAACATTAATAATAGTAATAATCTCATAAATAATACACGTAGGCGGTATAGTATGTTATTACGCACGGTGTGTCAGGTCCGCGAACTCGAATAGGACAGGAAATAGGATGAAATTCGAGTGGATCCTTGAAACGTACGTGGATCCTTCGTTCCGCGCTCCTGACACCGAGTTCACATTAATTATATTACGTTATTATCATACATAAGTACACGTAATATCTAGGAAATAGTACGGATCTTAATCTGTTTTAGGCCTCTACTCGACTACTCGACTACTCCTCGTTCCGTATTTTTTTTTTTTTTTTTTTCTCTTTTCTTTGGTCGTGTCACATTTATCTCTTATCTCCCTCTCTCCCCGCGCGCTATGTTCCCGAATGAATCGTGTTAACAAAGGTGGAAAGAGATGAACGCGACTCCGTTAGAAACGGGTCTTTCGTCACGGAGGAAATTGGACGAGATCGTTCCAATTTCGCGTTCTTCGGTTTTCTCGTCTTCACTCCGGCTGTATATTTCCTTCGATCGCTTGAATAAATATTCGGGTTCTTAATCGGGTCGGCAATTGTTCCCCAGAGACAACGGGTTATCATAACTTTAATTAATTCGAGCGAGACCGTTCCTTTCCTTCGTGGCGCTTTTAACTTAGAAAAAGAGAGAAGAAAAAAAAAGAAGGGAAGGAAATGACAGATAATGATTAGATCGTTGACTAGACTTGTTGGTCGAAATAAAGAGAGAGCGAGGAAAAGAAAAGG